TATTTATGGAGAAATAAGGACCGTTAGACTTATTTTTGTTAGACTTATTTCTAAATATTAAATAAAGCTTCTAGAGCCGATTAGTGATAGGACCCAAAATGTTTATGCCAAATAATGGCATTACGGCAATTTGGGACTGGGATTTAGGTATTTGACAAAATCTCAAATATAAGCCGAAGTCCTAAATATAAGCTAAAATTTCAAATATAAACCAAAATCCCAAATACAAGCCAAAATCTCAATACAAGCTAAAATCCTGAATATTAGTCAAAATCCCAATTTTGCCAGAATCCTAATCTTTGATTTGCTTATCAACGAAGTGATGAAGCCAATATTGTGAGACCAATTATCGTTATATATTTGTAGCCAATATATTTTATATGATTATATTTTTTATTATTTTTGCTTTAATTTGGCTCTATTATTTATACGTCCATATCTTAGTGGCCCAAAATTGTAAATAATGCTTTTAGTTAATAAATTAATGCTTTTACGCTATTTTAATAGTGCAAAGTCTTGTTAATTCTAATTAATATTTGAGAGCGAAGTAATTTATAAGGATTGCTTACTTGAAAATACCAGATTTAATGACCATATTGATAGGCTCTATAGTTGCATAGCAATCAAAAAATTTTAATAATTACATGGTTAATATGACTAAGTGTGTGAAAATATAACTTGTTAGAAGTTTCACTTCTATTAACAATAACTTAATAATCACAGTCTTTAATGATTTTAATATTGTTTTTGTCTAATACTAAAGAGTTATATTTTATTATTATGTGCATTTAATTTCTAGATTTTGTCCCAATTTTTTCTTCCGCCCTGCTGAGAATTTAATAAGTCTAATAAAAATATATCAAGAATTGGCTTCATACTGGCTAACTCCTAACTAATATATTATTCATTTAAATCTAACCATTCTGCCCTGCCAGGAATTTTATAGATTTTGTGCAAGCTAGCCAAAATAATCTTTCCATTACCTTCACGCAACTGTATTCGCAGTCTATCATAATATTAAGTAACATAATAGCCTCTAATATATAATGGATATCGGCCACAAGCTGAAGAAGTTGGCTTACTACAATCAGAACATAATATCTGTTTTTTTGATTTCCAATAAAATTGGCATCCTTCAGGCCTAATACAAGGTCTTTCACAAACCTTTCCAGAGTTGGTAAGATACAGACAAAAATATTCACCAATCATCCTATAATCGCTAGATTAAAAAAGATTAATAATAATTAGTTAATGCTTCAGTTCTATCATAACTTAGAAAGAGTCTGACAACCCTATTCACTTTTTTTTGCAAGGGGACAGATCGAAAAGTGAAAAGAATAGGAAATAATTAATTAAAGAAAAAAATTTTATAAGCAAATAATAGTGTGACGGTTAGAGCAAACACCATGGTCAAAAAAATAAGAAATGATAAAAAAGGTACAACATGTAAACGTTGTGGACGAGAATGCTCAACTTCTCAAAAACTTCATGAGCATCTTAAGCAAAAAAATCCTTGCAAAGCATTACAAGATCAGAAAAAAATAGCTAATAGGGTAGATGATTCTAAAGGGATTTCTCTAATCTCAACCCCTGCTTCTTTTACTCAAGTACCAAATCAAACTTCTAGTGAAATACTTAATAAAGATACTCTATTCAAAAATCCTAAAATCGAATAGAACTATCAGGATATAAAAAGAAAACTAAGCACTTTTGAAAACTTACAACAGAAAACACGCTGTAGACCAGAGGACTTTGATAGAAAGCGTTTTTACTTAGAGATGGAAAAAGAGGGTAATAAACCTTATACAGGTATAATTAAATCAAAATGGAGTATGTTTCTAAATTCAGTATTCGAATATTTACAAAAGGATTTTGAAAGAAAAAGAGAAGGTTTTATAGATAAAAAAGGAATCATAGCTGAAATTCGTAAAGAAATATTTCCAGAAAGTGAAATAATGCTTATACTTAAACTCCAACTCCTAAGGTTAATGATCAAAAAAGAAATGAAAAAAATAGATATTAAATTAGCCAGAAAGAAGCTGAAAATTGGGTTAATCCAAATGCGCAAAAGCCTGGTGAGCATTTTAGGACATAGGGAGCGAGATTGCTAAGAAGATAGAAAGAACTTGATCTAGGAGATTGTAACAGACCAGAAGACTTAAATCAATGCATGCTTCTCTGCCATGATCTTGAGCAGTATGATCCAGAAGCAGTTAGATCACTGACAAAAGAGAAATTAGAAAATAGTCCAGGATCTAGAACACAAGCTATTAAAAAAAGTAATAAGTCTAAGAGTTTGATTAATAAAGAATTTGAGTGATTAGGAGAAATCAAGAAGGGACAAGAAAAACCAGAGAAGGATTTAGAATTTAGAGAGCAAGAAATAGATATGGCAGTTAAAAGAAGAGCCATAGCTGTACATTGTGCAAAAGTTCCCAAATCTCATCCAGATAATGGAAGTAATATACGAAAAATATTAGAAAGCCAAAGAAAACAGTTTAGGGCAATACTTGAAAAAGAATTTGACAAGCGTGAGCAATTTAAGTTTTCTCTATGTTCTCTTATTAAATTTCTTATAGATGATAAACCCGGAATGATAATGCGTTAGAAAAAAAGAATTTATGAACTGATTGGCTAAGAAATAAACAAATTATAGTCTACAATAGAGCAGAAATAGATGATTATTTAAGCAATGCCTTCGAACAAATCTTATACCAAGTGGAGGAAAGAGGAGGAAAGCCTAATGCTTAAGAATATATTGGGGTGGTAACTAATAATGCAGACATTTATTAGGGTAGTCACTACCCATGGCATTACGGTTATGACGTAAAAGTCGCACTACCTCTAGATCATATTGCTGTTATGCTGTATGCCGTGGTAGTTGTGCCAAGGGTAGCTACCCTCAAGATTTTAAATGTCTGCATCTCTAGTGGTAATATAGTATTGGTTTTTTATTATATCACATGATCATTATGCATAATACAAATTTTTATTATACGCTATTATTCTGTGTATTAAAAAAATATATAAGTGCTATCTAATGTGACATTTTCCTTATCATTTATCACTTATCAGTCAATAAACACATTTTCTAATTATCTTGATTTAGTAAGACTACCTGTTGGAGTTGATATAAATCTATAACAAAATTCTGGGCAGTAACTCCACCAGGGACATTGATAACATATCCAGCTGTAGAAACAGCTCCTCTAACAACAGGGGGGTTCCAAAATACTTCCTGCACTGGAATATTAACTAGAAAAGCAGGAAGACCTGGTACTATGCAAGCAGTAGGAGGATTATTAGCGGTATAATAACTAAGAATACCAAAGTCCCACTATATAAAATTTGATAAGTTTATATTATAGATTAGATATTTGTTATTTAAATTGATTGCAAAAATATCAATGGCGTGCTAATATTACCTCTTCATAAAATACTCCTGGCAGTCCTTTTACTGCTGTGTGTCTTCCTGGTATTGGTACTGTCTGACGTGTCCAGAGTCTAGCCTAAGATCAGAAATAGAAAAAAATTATTTCAAATCATTGAATAATAAATAGGCTGTGTAATACATACAATCATGCACTGATCAAACTGTCTATTTGCATTTTGTATAGCTCTTTTATTGTAAATCTTAACTCCAAATATGCATCTTACGTATTCCTGACGCATCCATTGAATACACTTTGCATTCCAACCTCTCAGACCATCATACCTTTGAGACACTGCAACTTCGCACATTATTCGTGCGTGAGGTCTTCCCTATACAATTAATTTATGATAAGACTAGGAAAAATTAGGAACAAATCTGATATATACAGAACGAACCGTTAAGTTAATCAGAGGAATCTCAAGATGTCAGGAAATCCTTGGTGCGGTTCTACGAGCAAATCTTAGTCTACATTGTGGAGGTGGAGGTAAAGCTGGAACTGGAGGCTTCGGAATAATGGTCAAACTTGGAAATATTGCAATATCAGGTGCTGATGGTTTTCCTCTTTCATGTGGTTTATAGTGAGCTAATAGGATATGAGAAGGTTATAAAACTGATAACAAGACTAAGTAACCCAAAGGAATTTTTCTTACCTGAAGCACCTAGAACATCTATCAGAGGATTATCGGTGACACCTCCGTTGGGAACTTCAAAATATTTTTGAAGCCGTGCAATAACAGATGCGTGTTCGTCTTTTTCTATTTTGACTATAAATACATTTCCTCTTGGATTGGTATCAAATTTATATCCGCGTGTATCTTGACATTCAAAGAAAGCATCGATTTTTTTCACAGACAAATTCCAGCCTATCTGTATAGCAAACTATAATACGTGTCAATATTAGACAGAACTTAATCCATCTGTATGATGTTTACTTACCTTCTCTCTTCCAAAGAGTCTTTTGCGCTCTGAAAATTCCTCTCTAGGGACAGAATTCGTTTGATCATTTTTGAAGAAGATATTAATCAGGTTTAAGGTTACTCAATAATAACGTTACACAAAATTAGCTTATTCTTCAAAAAAAATAAATTAGAAAATCGCAATTTGACTACGTAGTTAAGAGATAAGACCCAGCTCTTTAAGTTTTCTAGAGATCACTATATAAGGGTCTTCATAATACCATATTTCGATAAGTAATATCCTATTTTTATCACAAAGTTCTTTTTTTAGCTGATCTTGTGCAAACTGTTTTTTAAAATCTTTTTGGTTTTTATGGAAGAAAGCGTGGAAGCATTCATGTTGTATATCTTGAACTTCGATAGCAAAACCATATTGTGGATAGTATATACACTGGCGATCATAAGTAGTGCAACAAAAAAAATTTTTTTTTAGATCGCAATATTTCACGCAATTCTGGGTCTATCTTTTCAATTTTTTTTTTATTTTACTCGCAAATAGTATCCTTTTTAAATAGTAAAATTTCAGCAGTTGTTATTATTACCAATGTAAAGGTATTTGTGCATTTATTACAAATCATGTGTTGCATTACTTTTGCTCGTTTTCGGCAAAGATCAGATGACACTTACTGTACTACATAAATGCATATCAGAATGAAAATTCGTTGTAATTCTTGCAATCTCTGTACTATGATAAAACATCTGATAAAGTTTTAATGAAAAAGAAAATCAGTATGGTAGACAATCTATATTACACAAGCCTTCTAGATTTGAAAATTGTGACTCAGAGCCAAGCCGTCCAATAAAAATGCAAGATTTTTATAATACAGTATTGTATTCAATATATACAGTTAACTCTTTCTAAAATGAACTGAAGATTCTGGAAGAAAAAAAAGTTCGTTATAGGAAATTACTATGTTTTCTTAAGAACCCCATGCAACTTTTTATACTGAACTATTATGAAATTTCAAAATTTTAAGTTTGTTATATCCAGTGTTCATTATAGAAAGGTTCGTTATATTCAGAGTCGACTGTATTTCTTGCTATTAATTCTTCGCTCTGTATTTAGACCGTTTAGATTTTCAAACAATTTACTCTAATGTAGTAATAACTACAGGCGCAACAATATTCTGCATCACCACTGTCAGTGCAACACCCAATTTCAATTCACTCACCGGTTTAAATGTGCGATCTGCCAATGCTACTATACATATAGATATCTTGTATTTAGTTAAATTATCATTGATACACGTTATTCTGCTTTATTCTAATTTATATTTACATGTTTAATAAGTTCACAGATATATATAATTAAGGAATAGCGATCCCAAAGTAAATGTATTAACTCAAAACGCTGCAACAAATGAGTGCTGCAAAGCGAAAACCTGTAACTGATCATAATGATTTACTATGGTCAGTTACAGGTTTTTGCTCTGCAGCACTCAAATATATATATGTTAATATTTAATAAATTGGGTTCTAGAAGTTATTATTATACAAAATGTGCAAATTGCAACCGAATTATAACTTCTGAAGCTTGGTATCAAATGTAACTTTCAGAAGAATGTGAATAAATAGGGTGTCGATAACTGCGTTAAAGGATTTCAACTTAGAACTACAGAATATGTAGATGTAATCGAATGGATTTCTTGTTCGAAGTGAAGCGGAGGACTCATACTTCTATACGCTTTGATGACTGAAATTATGATTTTGATGCATCTATAATAAAAAGATCAAAAAAGTAGTTTTGGCATTTTTCATCTGTAATGCCGCGTGTCAGCTCGTGTGTCTATATTTGTACATTGTGTAAAAAAAATTATGCACGTTTACGCGTTTGTGTAAGATGACAATAATGAGCTCCGGACTTTAACCGGTTTCCGGTTCCTAGTTTATTATACTTTGTATAAGGTTTATCGTTATATAGAAAGTAATTAATTATAGTTTATTTTTCAATTATATAATATAAAATGCGTCTATAGTGTTTATGGTGTTAAGATTTTGCTAAAATTTAGAGTTAGGTTGCAGCTATAGAGGTTAGATATAAATGTTTAAATTTTAGTTAGTATAGTACTGGATAGTAAAATGCATCCAATATTTATTAGTAAAAACTTTAAAGTGTTATAACATTTTTAAAACAAGCTACCTAAATCAAAAAACCCTCTGACAAATTGATAGATTTTTAGATAAACTACATTTTTGTCAGAGGGTTTATTCTTTGTTTTGAAAAAATTATAAAGGATTAAAGTTTGTATAAGTTTAAAAAATTAGTATTTAATATAGAAAAAAAGAAAACATATATTTTTAACTAATTAGAATCAATTACACAAAAATTAGCCAATTAGAATTGATTATATAAGCATCAAAAATTGGTGCCTTTATATATAGATTGGATGTCTTTTACTGTCCTATACTATATAAAGTTTTAAAGTTTTAAACATTTTTTTTTTCTTTGACAATTCTGTTTATTTTATTATGAAAACAGACTTTTATTCTTACATTAGCATATGAAAAATCTAAATCTATAATGTTTTAATCAAAAGATAAACTTACCCATGGTGTATCTTGCAGGTGCTGAAAAACCTATTTGTAGTCAGGATGAATTATTAAACCACTATATTTTGTCCAAATGTAATCTGCCTAGTGAATGGTTAGCTTCCTTCATAGATCTGAAACTTAATCCAGATTTATTTTCTTCAAATTTCTTGTCTGGCTGTTGTGTTTCTCTATCAAGATTCCCATTCTACAATAGAATGTTATCAAACTGATAACACTTTTTTATAGAGAAAGAAAAAAGAAAAAAAAGAATAATAGAAAATGAAAAAAGGGTAGTAATAAAAACTAATACATCAAAAAAAATGGATACTAATACTAAAGAATATAAAAACTAACTAAAACCTAAAAAAAAAAAACTGATAATAATCACAACTTTTTTTAATGATCACTTGAACCAAGACCACATCAAAACAGTTTAAAGATTCAAGGTCTTAAAAAGTCTAAAGATACTTGAGGTTCCTTATTGGTGCTGTTGCTGATAAAGACTTATACGTAAAATACTGAGAAGTAAACGTATATAGTTGGTTTGTGCTCTGGGTCAAGCTTTTCTTCTTGGTAGACTCCCTTGCACATTCAGTATCTAAGCCAAAGGGTTATTTTGATAACAGTAATGGTAAAAAACTCATGACTTAAGTATTTAAAGCTTTTTAGTTCTATAAAAAACAATTGAAAACACTTTCATTGTCTTGAGCTTTTGCAAATACAGTATTTTTCTTTTCAATACTTTTGGCTATAATTTTTGACAAAAAGTGGAGAATTTGACATATCCTCTCCAAAAGATCAGCAATGTTTATCACTTTCATATCGAAAAACTCTGCATGATGACAAACAATACATACAAAATAGACAGTACTGGTGAATTTAGTAACTGAATGAGTATTCGGAAGAATACCTTATATATCGTGTTGAGGACATACAAACACGTGATTATTGGATAGAACAGGTGGAGATTTCAAAATTCTTATACTTTCGGATGAAGATATGGATTTAATTGAAAGAATAAAGCAAAGTGAGAGAGATATACAAGTATCCTCTAGTTATCTATATATAATTTTTAGTCTCTGGCATAAGTTATAGTGCATTTTATTTTAGTTTTAAATTTCTTGTCAAGATTCTTGCACTTAATAATAGATTGTGACTCTGTATAATTAGAAGTTTTTGCTTAGTTAGCAGATTTTCTTCTTTTTAGCAATAGTTTCTTTTAGGTTTTAGTTTAGTTTTTTTTATTTTTTTATTTTTTTTTTTCCCCCTAGGCGAGATCGCGCTAGTGACACTGTTTATTAAAGTCATCATCTCATGGAAAATGCTAAAACAATAAAACTTAAGTCCTAACATCCTACGGCTACTACGCCTTCAAGTGCCTATAGGTGACCTGCTGCACCAGCGAGATATATAAAATATATCCTAACCAGAGGGCTTGTCCGACCACCGCCCTACAATAGGATATCGCCAATCTGATGACATCTTCTCGTAGAGAAGTGAAAGAAAAAAAAATTTTTAAGAAACACAGAGGTATAGGGGAATACGATAAAAAAATACAAACAAGAAAAGAATGGAGTAAGGGAAAAACGAAGAAAAACTAAACTAAATACAGGATTTTTCATCCGCACCGGACGGTCACAATTATAAGTCTATGTCAGGCTCAGTAAAAATTACATACTACTATCTAAACTAGTCTCTACTCTAATCTACATACATAGTATATCTAAGATAAGAAAAAAAACCCGTGACAAGGTAAAAAAAAATAGCTTCTTCGACGTTGGCACCATAGAGAGGTCAGAAAGGTCAGAAAACTCGGAAATTCGCACCAAAGGTCTCGAGTCATTGTTTGTCCAGGTTGCCACATTCGAGGCACGTAATACATATATCCAGTTCCATAAGATCCACGTGTTTGTTGTGACAGGTAAAAACGTAAACAATGCGACCAATTTGGTAAGTAAACAATATGTCGATCTTTTGGAGGGAGTAAGCTAAATTGCCCACTTTTTTACAAAATTTTCCCTGAAAAAAAGTGAAGAGACAACGAGAGTATGTGAGGTTCTTCTGTAAGTTTTACAGTTGTATAGGCAATTCTTCAAGCTTCCACTGTCTTAGTGAGAGTCTTTTAACTACTACTTGTTTCCAGAATAGACCTTTGGATTTGGATGCCAAATAACTTAGGGAGTCCGTTCGATAAATTAGCAAAAAAAACTTGACCCCAAGAAAAACCGTCCAAGTAATGCCCGCTCCTCAGTGTATCACATCTCTTGAACTTCGTTGACAACAACCTGCACAAAGGTGAAAACAGTTTTCAGAATACCCTTCTGGTTTAGATGCCAAATAACTTAGGGAGTCCACACAAAAAGAGAAAGGTTTGACCCCAAGAAAAACCATCCAAAAGGCGCTTGCTCCTTGGTGTTTTACGTTTTACTTCATAGACAACTGCTTTACTCTAAGGTAGGACTGAGAAGTTTCTGTCTTGGACGTTCCTATATTGTTTTTCTGTAGTTCAGTTTTTTGTTGTTGTTGTCCAGAGGATTGTTGGAAAGAGTTATATTAGAGACTTAGTTTTTTTTATTCTTTAGTATTATTATCTATTTTTTTTGATATATTAGTTTTATTTTTACCTCATTTTTTGTTTTCCATTATCTTTTTTTTTTCTTTTTTCCTTTTCTACAAGAAAGTATCATTAGTTTGGTGGTATTCTATTATAGAATGAGAATCTTGACAGGGTGAGCAACAGCTAACTGAGAAATATGAGTGAAATAAGTTCAGAATGAGTTCCAGATCTCTGAAAGAGGCCAAGTATTGCTAGACGGGTCACATCTAGGCAAAACTCAGCAGTTTAATAGTTCACCCTAAATACAAGTAGATATTACAGCATCTATGAGGTACGCTATAGATGAGTTTACATTTTGGTTGAAACACTTATAGATTTAGATTTCTTATGTTATATAGGAATAAAAGTTTGTTTCCATAATAAAGTAAACAGGATTGCTAAAAGAAAAAAAAAATCTGCAAACTAGGCAAAAACTTCTAATTATACAAAGTAACGATCTACTATTAAGTCGAGAGTCTTGACAAAAACTAAAATATATAATTAAAAGAAGATGCATTATAACTCATGTCAAAGGCTAAAAATTATATACAAGAAATATATTATATATCTCAAAACACTTTGCTTGACTTTTTCTAATTAAATCTATATCTTTATCCAAAAGTATAAGAATTTTTAAAAACTCTATATGACTTGTTGTTATCATTTCATTCATTTTATAATATATGCCGATTTGTTATTATCTAGTTTCTCAATATAAAAATAGTAAACAATGCCAATCTTTTGAAGAGAGTAAGCTGAATTCTCCACTTTTAGTAAAGCCAAAAGATAGTAAAAAAATATTGAATTTTTGCAAGTTTTCTAACTAAAGAGTATTGTTTCAAGAGTTTTTCTAAGTCTTTCTCTTCAAACAAACTTTAGTTTTCTTTTTTATTTGTCGTTCTCAGAGATTTCTTTGGTTTAGATATCAAATGCAAAGAAGAGTCTACTCAAGAAATAGCAGAAAAACCAGGCTTGACCGCTTTGCAAACTATTCAAAACATCTGC